ACGGCACATAGTAACAACAGCAACATATATATATATATATATATACACACACACACACACACACACACACACACACACACACCTTACATGTATGTGTGACTGCTTAATATGTTTCTACCACCAGTGTCAGTTTGTTGTACTGTGGGGGCTTGTGTGTGTGATCCTGGAAGCTATGCCATGAGTATTTCAAACACCAGCAGAGTCACCCATGCTGGACAGGTTTCGGTGGAGCTTCCAGACCAAAATGGACTAGGAAGAAAGGCCTGGAAATCTACTTCTGAAAATGAGCCAGTGAAAACCCTGTGAATCACAGCAACTGACTTGCTTTGGACACATCATTTTGTTATTGTTGTTGTTATGTGCCACATTAGGAGGAATCAGTCACTAGAGGTAGACACCATGGTTGGTGAAATAGAGGACCAACAAGGATGAGAGAAACCCTCCATGAGATGGACTAGCACAATAACTACAACGATGGACTCAAAACATGCCAGCGATCATGAAGATGTTGCAGGACCAGGCAGCATTTCATTCTGTTATACAGAAAGTCACCATGAGTCAGAGTCAAATCAATGGCAGCTATCTCTCTCCGTCTACCCAATATAATTAATAAAATACAAATTAATTTACAAAGCATTTCTGAGCTCATTGTGGCTTTTTTTGGTTATTATATATATTATCTTAATGCATATTGTTGTTGTTGTTATGTGCCGTTGAGTCAGACCCGACTCATAGTGACCCCTCCTTGGGCAGTATCACTACGGGAGTGGATTGTCCCATCTTCCTTCTGAGGAGTGGCTGGTGGGTTTGAACCGCCAGCCTGCTGGTTAGTAGTCAAGTGCCTTAGCTAATGTTGTGTAAATCTTTCAATTATTTTGAGTTTAACTAAAAGTTAAATACCATTATCTCTTATTGACAGTGTTTTTTTTTCTTTTCTTTTCTTTTTATGTGTTAATGTTTGTTTCCAGGGGTTGGTGTGTGCTGGATTGGCTGACATGGCCAGACCTGCAGAAAAACTCAGCACAGCTCAATCTGCTGTTTTGATGGCTACAGGTAAATAAATGTCTTCATTGTTCCATATAGGACATTCATTGTTTTGTTTTATTTTATATCAATTTATTTAGCAATTTAATATTTGGAACACACACACATTGACAGTGTTATCTCTAGGAGATTGTTGGATTATGGATGGGGGCAGAGGAAAATTACAGTGAACATCTGTATAAGTTTTTGCTATTCCATATTTTTGCCATAAGCATATTTTTGTAAATAAGGAAAAATGTTAGAGTTAATATCCAAATGCCCTATAAAGATTCCTATTTTGTATAACAATGAATTTTAGAGACATTATCGAAGACTCAAGAGTATAGCATTTTTTGTCATCAACGATATTATTGTCGTATGCGCATTTGTAATTAATTTTAACTGTTCATATAATACATTGCAGTAGTACCTACGCCTTTAAAAAAAATTGTTGTTTTAACAGGGTTTATTTGGTCACGATACTCACTTGTGATTATTCCAAAAAACTGGAGTCTGTTTGCTGTTAACTTCTTTGTGGGAACAGCAGGAGCCTCTCAACTCTTTCGTATTTGGAGGTAAGCTTGCCAAGAGTTTTAAAAAATACCTACTTCTTGAGATCCTCCTGGATAGAAGGAGAAAAATGTGGAACCATGAAAAATACCAGCCTTCCTGGTCTGATAAAGACTGGTGAAATCTCCGAGACTATTGCCCCTAGTCACCTTTTAGGCTTGGGATTGAACTCATTCTTGTGGCTTCCAGCCAAACAAAAGACAGGCATACAAGGTGAACATTTACATCAGGTAGGTATACTTCTTAGAACAATCAATCATGGGAGATCAGAAGGGCAGTATTTGCACAGGGAGACAGCTCAGAGGACAGGAATGCATAGGAAGAATGGCACAGGAAAAAGGTAACCACAGAGGGGAAGTGAGAAGTGAGCTTTACATTATGGAAATTGCAATCAATGCTAACAAACAATGTATATCAATTGTTGAATGGCAATTTCCTCTGTAAACTTCACCCAAATCATAATAAAGAGGTTTTTTTTTTTGGTAAAAAAAAAAAAAAACCTGCTTCACTTATGTGTTGTTGTTGTTATGTGCCATCCAGTCAGCCCTGACTCATAGCGACCCCTCCTTGGGTTTCCAAGGCAGTATCACTACGGAAGTAGGA